ATGGGGTAATGTCTGGGGGTATTGTTCGGCGGCTAATTGTCCGGGAAGGTATTTGTCCTGGGGTATTTGTCCTGACACCTTATATATAGAGAGAGAGTGAGAGAGAGATAAGAGATAGTAAAAATATATACTATAAATATATATGGTGTCTTTATATTTTCTATGGATACAGTACAAACAGGTTACATATGCTGACTATAGAAACAATACTAGTTAGACTATTATTTACTACTAGTTACTATTAGTTAGACATGCACCTAGTTGGACTAGAGTCTCTATAATTTTCTATGATGCTGATGGGTGGCTGTATTGATGACAATATACGACTGTGATGTTACAATATTTAAATATTAACATTTAATATAATATATATATATTATATATATATATATATATATATATATATAGATATATATAGATAATATAACTAAACATAAATATTATAATAATAAAAAATAATATAATATAATATAAATAGTGAATAAATATAATAATCTTTAATTTTATAAAATTAAATATTTAAAAGGTCAAAGTAGAAAATTCGCAGCGAACTTTTATATATACTTAAATCTACATCGCCGAGTATGGTGCCGAGATGGTTACGGATATTTTTATTCAAATTCATTTTATTTCAAGTCATTTCATCAAATTCATTATTCATTTTCATTTTAAATTCATTTTCATTTTTCATTTCACATTCATTTTCATTTCAAATTCATTTTCAGTGTCATTCCAAATTATTTTCATTTCAAATTCCATTTCATTGTCATTTCAAATTCATTTTCATCTTTCTTTCATTTTCATTTTCATTTCAATTCATGTTCATTCATTTTCATTTTCATTTCAAATTCATGTCATTTTTATTTTCATTCAAATTCATTTTCATTTTCATTCCAAATCAATTTGCCGATGAAAACTGGCGGTGCCGAGATGGCCTACGATCATTGGTGGGCGGAGTGACGTCAATTGCCCTCTTAGTGCCGGAAATCAACAACGAGAAACAAACGCCAACTCCATGAAAAACACACATTTTACTCATTAATCTCAATATAATTGCCAATTCTTTGTGTAAATGTGTTATTTTCATCTTCATCTTAAAGTTATTAAGAGGTCTCGAGCTCTGCGTAATAACACATACGTACTACGTACGTACTGCCCAACATTGCCGTACTGGTACTATAGCCATCTTAGTAGCTGCCTTTTGTTTCAAGTCAGGCGGACAATACGTTGGGATTGATGGGCAACCAGGAATGATAATCATTAAGGTTAAAAAATTATCCATTGCGGAAATGAAAACTTGCTTACTATATATCCCTTGCTCTCGCAATGAGTGCGCTCCAAAAGATAATAAGAAGAACACGACGTTTCGCTGTGCCTACTGCAACACCGTCAGCGTTAGATGCGTCGAACGTTGCGCAGTGATGGTTATATATATCCCTCGGTTGGATTGAGCGGTACAACTGCTGGACAGGCGCTGCTGTGATTGGCTGTACTGACGCATTGCTGTTTCTTACGCCGATGCCCGGCCGGCTGGCCTGCCAGGTCTCCCGCGTCTAAATCGTCTGGCTAGCGTTGGCCGTTAATCTCACCTGTTGTCAGGATCGGACGTCGTTTGCCTACCGCTAAACGTGTGATTCATGCCGGCGTATCGTTGACATCCAGAAATTGCAATAATCAACCCGTTGTCTCTGCTTAAGTTGTTGGGCGGAGACGAAGTTAATGGCTTCTTTTACCCGTCCGTGTGTACCAGTGTCGCCCTCTGGGCGAGCACGTATCCCTTCCCAGTCAGGTTGGTGCGGTCCCCCCATGCGGTGTCGGCCACTGCCTGAGTTGTCAGCGTTCGAAAGCCAGCCTAACATCCCTCTTGTCCGCTAATCCTTTCGCCCCTATAGGTCCGGCCTGTTTCACGCATATAGCATCGTCACACCCTTGACAAGCGATGTTTATACACCATGCCGTCGCGTCTGTGTTCGGGCCGAACTGATCCTTTGGCTACTACATGCTTGCGCCAGTGTAGAGCTCTGCAGCGGAACACGGTCGAAACACCATGCGTTCTCTAGGCGGCGCTTCAGCTGCTGGAACCCGCTCTATAGAAGGGTAAAAAGCACCGTAAACGTCTTATAATCCTTCGCGCCACTGGCGTTGCTGAAGTTTTTTGTGGTGAACGATAGATGAAACCGCGTGGCGTACCCAGTTCTTCACCGAGGGCATCCCGGACGTGCTGCCCGGCATCAAGTTGTCTGTTGTCGGGCTGCGAACTATGCGTTCCGCTCTGTCAAAAAAGACATTTCACTAGCCTCTCTTCACAGAGATGGGTGCCATGCCGAATCAAAACCGCCGTATGTAATGTCTGTGTGAGTGTCCGGCTTTCCTGTAGCACTGAGGTGAAGCGACGCCGTTGTCAGGTCTGGTGCACTAGTTTCCAAGCAGCT